ATTTTTTGTCTGCTATTATTGGTGATATAATTCCATATCATAAAAATACCTATGATTACAGAGGGTAGATGGTTAAGCAGTGGTTCAATATTGATGTATTCGTTGAGCCTATTTTGAATTACAGTTCTTATCGAAGGAAAGAATTGCAACCTTATGGATGTTTGATCAAGATAAGTTGATTTAGCAATAAGAGATTATACAATGCTGTATGCTCTTTTTATTGAAACTACTTTTCATCAGATGTTGAAGTTTTTCTTTAATGATAATCCTAATAATCCTCTTGTTGCAAGCTGATAGTTGATTCTTATATCGAGGTTTTTTTTTTTAAATAATTTTTTTTATTCTATCAACTGATGCTTTTTTCATTCTTTAACAGGTCATGGGATCATCATGATCTTCTATTAGTCCAACCTGAATATAATGGTAGCAGTCAATGCTCCACAAGTGCCAAATTGATATCGATTGCTCCATATAGTGATAGGAAAGAGACTGCTGTCTATGCTACAGACCTACGAACTGGATCTATGGTTCGCTGTAAAGTTCTTATTGATAAAATTTCCAGGATTAAAATATTTCATCATGCTGTCAAAATTAACTTGGACGATCTAGCAACACTACATATTACGGCATTTGATGATGAAGGTATCTTGAATCATACTAATGATGCCCTTTTAGTTATTCATCATTACAACCATTATGTGCAACTATTTATATTTTAATATCCTTAGATATAATTTTTTTAGCAAAGAAATATTAGTGAAATATTGAAGATGCTGTTTGTGCCAAGTACTTCAGCTTGCAGAGAAATAGTAACAAGAGAGCTATTTCTTCATTAAATGCTTGGATTCTACTTTCTATTGGGTTGGGGCATGCAGGCATCTACTTTGGGTACTTTCTTATGTGAAGGCTCCATCATTTGGAGATATAAGCCATCTTGCAGAGGGTAAAACCAAGGCTTGCTGACTAAGAAGATATCCCTAAGCTATATTCAAATTGTCTATTTTATTTAGCCTATTGGCAATATAAGTGTGAATGCTTGAAAATCTTTCCCCATTTTCACTTTGATGTTGGATAAGTATAAGATGAATTCAAGGTGACTAACAAGAGAAAGTCGCAGATGTTCGACCATACCTTTCCTGCCCAAATGGGGGAATTGGCTTATACTAATAATTTTGGCAAAGTTTGCATCATGGTTGGACTTCTTTGGTTGGCTAGTCTCTATTGCTCCTTCTTTGTAGGTGTTGCTACTTCCACATAACTAGGAAGTTGAAATCATATTGTCATTTACTGTCATACATGCTGTATGTAGAATGCCTTTGCTACCAAGTATCATTGAAGTAGACATCACGAGGATTTTGTAAGGGATGACTGAAGATACCCTTAAGGCAACTCTTGAAATTGGTAATGCTATTCAGCAAAGGCTTAAATGGTAGATTTGAATTGTCCCAGGTATTGCCATGATTACCTCCAATCAAATCCAGTATCTCAAAATATTCCTGAGGTGAGGAGCTTATCAGTCTTTAGCTAAAAAGTATTGTTGGTCAGTGGAGAGCTGGTGCCACCCTTTCCAAAATTTCATGGTAAATAATTTTGCTAGTCTTAGGAGACTATTCCAATGGTGTGAATATGTTAGTTTAAAGGCTACCAGGGTGGTGGGGTTGAATTTGGTTTGCACTAAAACTATTGAAATTCTTGCAAAGCTCTTTACAACTCAAACCCTTACAAGAAGCTTGTGGAAGATAAACAAATAAATAAATCAACTAGACTCACAAGCATACAACGTCGGTGTTTATAAGTATACAAAGGTGATAAGCTAATTTAAAAGTGAGGAAGTGTTAAGCACAATGTAGATAATATTACGCAACTTGTAATCAAGCAAAGCAACGCACAAATATAAGAAAACAAAGTTCCGTTGCTGTTGAATCAAAGGCTGTTAGTCTGTTATAAGTGCTGTGGACTAGCACATGTAGCTGCAGGAGATATTTGTTTTTTAAACATCCTGCGTTTATGCAAGATTATCCCCTTTTTTGTACTTATTGAAATTTTACTTTTAATCACTTTTGATCTGTTCTCCTTTCCGAACTTATGTTTGTATTTGTTTGTTATATTTTTTAGTGTTTGATCTCATGAAAAATCGTGGATATGTATGAATATTGGCCATGCCGATAAAATTTCCATATAAATAGCTACTAGATAATTATAAGCGATGTGTTTCTGTCTGATTATCTTATACTTGAACAGTTGAACTGAGTTTGATCATTACTCTGTGCCTGAAATTGCCACGTATTTTTTTACATTTGTTTTCTCTATTGTTCATTTGCTTTGTTTTTATTGATTTTGTGAACTTTGATCTAATTGTGGTTTTTAGATGTAGTTGTAATAGTTAATCAAAAGACTTGAACTGAACTACTTCTATGTGAGTGTATCATGATTAAGTAAGAATTGATACTATCTCTTTTGAATTCCTGCAGAAAACGTGTTCTCATCATTGGTTGGCTTACGGTTTTCATGGAAGCTAATTCCCAAGTCTTTGGATGAGAGTATGCATCATCTTATTCATGTTCCACTGAAGGAAACACCTCTTGGTGACTGTGTTAGTGGTTTTTGTGAGGATCTGGATGTCCAACTTCAGTTGGAAGATAAGGTACCTTTTGTATTGTGATCGCTGCATACCGCATAATAAAATTTGATAAATTTATCACTATCTATAAAGACTTTCTTGCTTTATCTGTGCATGACAGGGGTTAGGTTCTGATTTATATGTTGTCAAAGGAATTGGAATTGGCCATGAGATTGTTAAAGCCAAGTTGCTTGAGCCACAACTAGAACATGTGGAGGACGAGATTACTTTAACTGTTGCAGAAGCAATGTCCCTAGATCCTCCCTCACCCGTCTTTGTGACTGTTGGTTCATTGATATATTACAGTCTCAGGGTTATTCATAGAAATACTCATCGAGGTTTTAAAGCCGAATTCTATTAGAGTCGATTTACTTATATTTTATTATTTGTTTTTGTATGTTTATGAGCTTTTATTTGAATGAAATTGATAGAACCTTGTCTTTAAATATTCAACATGGATTTGAAACATAAAGTTGTTTGATTACACTTTATTGCTTTTGGAGGCACACTTTTCGAATGCTAAGGAAGATCATAGTATGCTGTTCTCAATAAATTATGATTTCAGTTGTTCCTTTTGTTTTGAAACAAAATATTTTTAATACCATATTGTGATGTATGGTCTAAAAATGTTTGATGGTGAAAGCATTAATTTGATTGGTGTCCCTTTAGGATGGTGGTAGAGGGTTATATGGGATGTTAGAAAAATGAAATTTAGGGTTTTGGACAGATTTTAGGCTGAAATTTTAAGATTTGAAATGGTAAGTTTTTCTCAAAGGAAGAGGGTGAGAATTTTTTTATCGAAGTTCTGGGATGGTAGGGGACTAATGTTGCCTTTTTATATGTTTGGATTAGTAGTTAAGTAGTTGTGAATTTTTAATTCTTATTGCTCACAACAAGAATTTGTCTTTATGTATTAGACTTTTAGCTTGGCTGTCATAGTTAAATTGGGGATCTATGCCTTGGGAAGTTGTAGGAGTTATGGGGAAATATGTTGCAGAGTTTTGAAGTGGTTGGAGGTGTCATGGGGTTGAGAGACACTATGATTTAGGATTGGCTGATATGGAGAGGGAATTGTGTTGCGAGAGAGGAATTCAAGTGCGAAAAAGATAACTAATGACTCATCAAAGCCTTTGGGGATCAACCACGAGGCTTTATCAAAGAGTAGATAACTACTAAGCTTTTCTACATGAAATTTTAAGTAAAAGTTAATTTTATTCAAGGAAATCAAATGTAAAATTTACGTTTTTATCTATAGGCTTTTTCTCAACCCTTGCCAAGATTAAAAAGGTATTGCGATCTTATAAATTATTATTATATGTATTGATGATTCATCCTAATGCAAAGGGAAGGAAAAGAAGCAACATTTATACAGTTTAATGTTTCCATAAGCAATGAAATTCGTCCAAGCTAAATAAGGTTGGTGGTGTAGTCTTGAAATCAAACAATTTTTTATTATCTTTACTTTGATTGGTGCGGCCGACCTACTTATCAAATGATCTCAAGTTAAGCTTCTTAATTATTCTTCATTGATTTATGAGAGAAGAGGGGTCACTCAACAATTTAATATTATAAACGATTATGACAGGGTCCTCTAATCGATTGTTTGGCCTAACGACTTAACATAATCAATGATTTGGCCCAACAAATTTACATGGTGAATGATTATGTTCGAGACCCTATGATTGGGTGGTTTGACCCAACAACTCTAATATATTATGATCATGGCTAAAGCCCGTGTGTTCTCAAATGATTAATGCCCTTAAGTACTGAATCATAGGATATAATTAATATGACATAAAGCTTTCTGTCAGTTATGGTCAACTCAAATCTATCACTTTAGACAAACATTCACCCTAAGTTTATAAGATACCTTTGGATGAAACAATCTATGACTGCTGAGAAGAATCCTTCGGTCAGGCTGGGTCGACTAACTCCTTTGACTAAGTAGACTAGGGGTCATGACGTCCCAGAATGATAGAACAATGAGATATTGATCAGACCCATTATCATTTTCTCATCACTCATTTTAAGTGTACGGTGATAAGTCATATTCTAAAATATCTTATAAATTCAAAGTCCAAACCATGAAGTTGCTGCTACTATACATTGGATACTAAGTGCTAATCGAATGACTAACTTTAATCGAAAGTTCTCTTTCGTTACTTGGAAAGGTAATTGACCATAGGTGCTTGCGCTTATAGGAAAGCGGATCTTAGCTCATAAAGTTCTTACAAATGAGGGTGAAATCTCTGTATAGTGTCTAATCTAAAATCTCATATGCCTTCTGAAAATTTACCTCGGAACCTAATCTCGTTAAAAACTCTCCCCATCGATAATGAGGATACAGTGAGGTCAGGGTGCAAATTTTCGGAGCCCACAAAGGTCCTGACTATAGGCATTTATAGAACAAATCATATTGAAATGAGATGGGGACACTAAATGGCATTTCTTTTTCATAGAAGAATCTTCTAATGTCTATACAAACATGCATGTGAGCTTGTCTTTTATTTTGTGGAGACATTTGATGTCATACCCTGCACCATCATCCTTCTCATCCTTCATATTCATCATATATTGGTCTATAGGCCCCCTTGCATCTCTATTTGACATTTATGGCAAAGAAGATGAGTGTCAGCCACTGAGCCCACTACCATAATAAGATTCATTATCTACTATGTCATCAAATCTTCATTGTGCCAAATGCTTTGACATGGTTATTTTGTTCATGTAAGCATAAATCTCTTCTTTCGTCTGCTCTGACACTTTGGCACATGGTGAAACATTCTTATGAGAACTAAAAAAAAAAATTCTTTCATTATGGTTACATCATTGCTAACAACTTTATCACAATAGGTGTATATCTTTACATTCCCTCCAATTTTTACTTGTTCCCTATGCTTCCATACTGGATCTCTTCTATTTCTCTTTGAGCTTTTCTCATAACTTTTAACCCTTTTAGAAAACCGAAACATGAAATGTTACTCGACAAAAGGATTATAAAATGCAAACGTTTTTAAAAAAGGAAACCTTAAACAAATAAAAAAAAAAGGTTTGGGAAATAAAAATGACTATTGTTAATGGTAAGAGATGTGTGGAGGATGGCTCGGCAAGGTAGCCGTGGCGATGGTATTGTAGCAGGGCGATGAAGTGCAATTGAGAAGTGGTTGGAATTAGGCGAGACTGTGGGTGGGGAATTAAGAGTACTCAAGGAGAGGAAATGTGGGCTTTAGGTTTAGATGGAGTTTTATTGTAGTGAAATAGTAAATTGTTGTTTTAAGAATGTATTTTATTTATAATTTTTTGAAAAATCATTCTAAACCATAAGATATGTGACATAAGCCTTTTGTTTATTGCATAGAGGTTTCATGTTAGGTGCAACCTCATCGGGGCTACAATGGCGGCGCTACAACGATCAAGTGACAATGTGCAATTGAGAAGCGGCTGGAGTCAGTTGAGAGTATGCTTGTGGGACTTGAAGTAGTTGAGGAGAGGAACCTCAAACTTTAGGTTTAGATGGAGATTTGTTGTAGTGAAATAATAAAATTAAGTTTTAGAATATATTTTATTAAAAATCACCAAAACCCCTAAGATTTGTGACTTTCGCCTCTTATTTATTACGTAGAGGTGTGCTTGAACCTTGTTGAGGTGTAGGCGTGTATAGCCTTAGCATGGTTACCATGAGGCGTTTATTTCATGGCAAAATTTCCCAGAAGCACTAATGCATATCTTTTATTGTGCAATTTTAAGCAATGGGTATAAGTAACTTACACTTCGGAGACATGATTCTATTTTGTTATGGGAAATTTTTTTCAAATATCTTATTTTATTTCATGCAACAAAATTGTTTTGTGGAATTGTTGGATGGATATCAACAATAACATTCACTGGAGCTTTTTCTCCCAAGCCAAGAACTGGTATGGAACAGGAGTCTAATCATCCACCAGATGTCCCGTATCAGCCATCCTGGCGCGGTTTCTCATTATTTTGCATAATGGTTGCGATATTTGGCCCTGTTAGAGTTTCTTGGTGAAGTTTGATTGCTTTTAATTCCCAGCCGATATTTCCCTGTGAGCGCATTTTTATCTTTAACATGTAAAATTCTTAAAATAAGGTTTTTGCACTGCTATTTTTTTTCCGTCTAATTTTCTTTTGATCAAGTTTTTCATTTTCTTGTAGTGATTGAGTTACCCTCTCCACATCATCAATGGTCTGTGCAGAATTGTTCAGTGGCTAGAGTGGATAGTATGATGGGAACAGTTTACGCTGTGCGCCTAGGAATGACTAATGTTGTTGTTGAAGATACCAGGGTTTCTGGTCATATTCAAACTTCAGCCCTGCATGTTGTACTACCGGATAATTTGTTGCTATACCTTGTACCTGTCACTAGCTCTATTGATGCGGTTGAAGGGATAGATCCTATTCCTTCTTCAGGCGTCTGGTATGTTTTTCCAGGCCAACTGTACATAATTTATATGAAGGTTTTCTCAGAAGGGCCGGATTCAAATGAGATACTCATCACCGAGGTATTTAATGAGCAGAAATCGTATTTCAACCCACAATTGCATGCATTAATTTGTTTACAGATATTTGTAATGTAAGCATCTAGGCATCTCTACAAGCATGCATTTGGATATGCATGATGATGAAGACACCTTTCCGCATGTATTCATAATGGGTCTAGACTATGCAAACGTGTGTATTAGCTAACTACCTACTCATATGAATGCATGCATGACATCTGTATACATGTTTATATGCATCTCAGTTTTTATGTACAACATGGATAACTGTGTTGCTAGACGCAGAATAAACCATTAATGTGAGTAGGTTGATCATAGATGATGGTAAATCACATATATGTTTAATGACATGGATGCCCATGTATTCACATGCACCCATCACATTTACTTGCACTATTGCACCAATTTTAAGAAACAAAGATGGCATGACAATCTCTATCTTGGAAGGACCTCACAGAATGTTATTTATTTATTTTAATCAAAATGACCTTAAAGGATGTTATTTGTTGGTTAGAACTTTTTTATATTTGACATACGCTTAACTAAGGACTGTTTGGTAGTTCAGCAATGTCATGTGAAGCTAAAGGAGGCATTATGATAAGGGATTCCGTAAAAGATTCTCTTATAAAATAGGAAGTTATCAATGATTATGAAAGAACCAAGGGATAAAGGAAAAAAAATAGGATAAGCAACACGTACCTAGATGCAGTTTATCCTTTTATTACGTATATTAAGGCTCACTATTATTTCTATACTGAACTTAGGTTTTAAAAAATATTAATCCAATCATGTACAGGATTTCTTAATTATGATTCTTCCAATAGATCAATGATAAAAGAAGGTAAAATTTTCAAGCACGTTCCTAGTACAAAGGACTGCACCTTTTTTTTTTTTTTTGAAGGAATGAAACCCCAAATCTCATTTTTTTGGGTTAGGGGCTATACCATTGTGCCCTGCACGCAGAGACTAGGAATACAACTTGATATACAAGCATATGAATGATCAGCATTGTATTTGTAAGTACCCGTTTTCTACTACGCCCAGAGGTAGACAGGTAAGATGCCTACTAGTTACTGATATAAATGGTATGATACTTGACTATAAGAGGTGAATATTGAACGGTTTTTATAGACTGAAGATTTACAGGTTGTTTGTAAGGGAGGTAGTAAAAATGTCCATGATGAAAGATTTTTATGAAATATAGTATAATAATATTGAGTGCAAGCATTTGTTTTTGAAGCTACAAAATTGATTAGAATCAAGCAATTGTATGTATTCATCATTAAGCACGCCATTATAAAATAAGATTATTGGGTTTAGTGAAGAAGATAGAATTATTCTATACAAAATACTAGAAGATTAGAATTTTGGAATCTTCTCAAGGTCTAAGATTAAAAGCCTGACTGACAATATTGTATGCAATGCCCGTTTGATTTGCTATTAACTTTTATGGTGTTTTTCTTGCAACAGAACACTGACCTTAAGTTGGAAGATAACGCTTTTGTGTCTTGGGATATATTGCCTGTTTCTAATGCTGATGCTGCAAAATATGGCTGGCGAAATTCAAGATTACTCAAACCATATTCTTTGGGAGAGGGCACTCTAACAGCTTCTCTGTTTTATCATAGTGAAAACAATGAAGAGGTTCAGGTAATCAAATATTCCAATCTCCTCCTGTTTTATGTTTGTGGGTTCATCTCTAGTTGCATCACAACATAGCATATGTTTTATGCTAGTATACTTCAGCTTTTGAAATTCATTTGATATCTTTTCTGACTACTGCTGCTAGCTACTTGTATGACAAACTACTTTCTGCTTTTATTGAACACTTTTCTTATTTATTGACTATAACGTTACCTCTCTAGGTTCTTGAGGTTGTGCAAGCAGTCACTGTATGTAGAAAAGTGAAGTTTAGTATAAAAGAACAAGTTGAGTCCTTAGATTCCATCCGCATACCCTGGGCTCCTGGTATTTACCAGGAAATACAACTGAATGCAACTGGAGGTAATTATATACATATATTCAACCTTATTTTCAATTCAAGAATAAATTTCTTAACAGCGCTGGATTGACGGTGGTAATTGTAGGTTGTGGCAAGCTGTTTTGGTTATCTGCTAATGAGGCAATTGTATCAGTGACTGCTTCTGGTTTTGTGCGGGCCAAAAGGCTTGGTACAACAACGATTAAAGTATTCTCATTGTTTGATTCAATAAATTGTGACGAGGTATTGATTTGCAACAGTATTTGCATTCTAATTGTTTGTTATCATCTTGGAAAGCATTTTGTCCATGAATCTGTTAAATAAATAAAATAAAAATGATTTCTCCTCTTCTGCACAATTCATGTGCCTGTTTCAATAGAAATTTGGTTATATTCTATCATCTTAGCCTATAAACAACGGTTGGCTTTATAAATATGCTAGTGAACGAACAACTTCAACGCAGGTTGCTTTAGTTACTGTTAAATCGTCTATAGTTGAAAATGAGAGTTTAAAATTTGTTCCAAATTGTGAGCGCAAATCTGATCTGATGAAGTAGTATCATCCGCCAAAGAGTCAAATTTGAACATTTGGTTGTACCTCTTGAGCCTAATAGGTAGATTTGCTTTACTTTGGATTAGCCTTTTGAAACAATTTTAGAATTTATGTCCAAAAAATTTGCATGAAGAACAATATGTTGGGATGTTTTTAAGTTTGCGCCTCAATGAGAAGTAACAACTAATTCCAACAAAACTCTTTCCAAAGAATGTTTAGGAAAATGGGCAGTAGCAACATTCACTTGCAAATATTTTCTAACATTGAATCCAAGGATTATAAAGTGGATTATTTGAATTAATGAAGTTGAAGTCGCGGAAATGCGATTCAAATAAGAGTAATTGAAGGCAGATCAGTTAAAATGGGGGGACCACATTAGCATACACATTGAATAATCACTAATATAGTATGAGCATTGAGAGAACAGTTTGTTATAGTTTACTTTTGAAGATAGTCTTAGGATCACATGATGAGGGTTGATGAGTCAAACGGAGTAATCACCAACAAAATATAAATCAGATATGAATTTGCAAATTATTTCTAGATTGGGTGAATTTAAAATGAATTTTCCATTAAGCAAACAAAAAAAAGGTGGGTTAGCAAATAGACTGATCTTCTCATCATGGGAGAAGGTTTACCTTGGTATTAGAGCGCACCCAATCAGATGGTAACATAGCTGATGCCTAATTCCAGATCAAAATTAGAATTGGAATAGCTGTAATTAGGAACTTTTGATAGATATCACAAAGAAAAGTTGGTGAACTTGCTGATGACTCAGTCCCAGTTATTTTTGCAGTCTTCATTGGAATTGCTGGCCACATTAATAGAGCCTGTTGGATGCCATAAATCAGTTGATGCATTTTAGTTATTCATCATGTTATAATATTTCCACAATACTGTTATTCTGTGGGACCAAAGCTGCATAATTTCTTTTATATATACATATAGTTTACTTCTTGCTAATAAATTTGAGTCTGTCAGTATTTTTTTACTGTATATGTAAGCTATTTTAAAGTGATGGAGTTGAAGTAGTGCATTCTTTGTTTTGTGATGCCAGTTGTCACTAAAAGGTTAGGCAATGCATGCTTTGTCTAAGGTCCGAAAATTCTTTTCCAACTTTTCTCTATTATGTTAAACATCTTTTCGTAGATGTTCCTTTGGCTGATTTTGAAGATTTTAGTTGGTCCATTTTTTCATTATGCAATGGATGGTGTATGAAGAACTTGTAATTTCAAACATATTGAGTTGCACATCTTGCTTGCTTGACTAATTAATTGTCAACTCTTATTTGGCATAGGTTGTTTTGGAAGTTACTTCACCTTCTGCGATGGTTGTTCTTCCAATCTATCCTGTAGAGGTGGAAGTTGGAACTGAACTGAAAGCTGCTGTGAGCTTAAAGACATCTGATGGTGCATAGTTTGTAATTTAATGTATTTCTGATTTCAATACTTTTTAATAAAGTTTAATTGGCAATTTAATTTGTATAACCTTAGGTAACTACTTTTATCAATGTGATGCTTTCAACTCTTTCATGAAGTGGAATGTTTTTTCTGAAAGTGAAACTTTCAGAGCTCTGAACACAACTGAGAAGATATGTGAAGCCGACATGCTCCATCTCACAGAGATCTCCAAGCAATCCTACGTTCAGCCTTGTGCATGGACTTGTTTATTTGCTTATGGTACTGGCAGGGCCATGCTACATGCAACTTTGTCGATTGACTTACATTCTCCTTTCCATTTCATGGATGGGCCTTTAATTTTAAAAACAGCTTTTCCTATAGCTGCATATTCTCCACTTGTTGCTTACCAGGCAGGAAATGGAAATAGATTTGGAGGCTACTGGATTGACGTGCCTGAAATAAATAATGGAATCAAACATTCGTACTCTACAGCTTTGGATGAGTTGTATCTTGCCCCTGGCTCTGCTATGGATGTCCATTTAAGTGGAGGACCTGAAAGATGGGATCTACATGTTGAGTATGTTGAAAGTGTTGAAGTTACTGGTGAACAAAATCTACCAGTAACTGATGGTGTTCAGGTGCAGCAGACGCACTGCAATGGGAGAAGATTGTACACAGCTCTATGCCTTTCCGTGGGGCAGTTTGTATGCACCTTATAAGTATCAAGAGATTTCCTATTTACCTTAACTGACTTTAAAAGTAGACTTGCTCCTTTCTGATATTTTGCCTTTGCTGAACAGAAACTTCTCTTTTCACGGGGAAACCTTGTTGGCGTTAACCATCCTGTGGCAACTATAGCTAACTTGGAATTGTCTGTTATGTGTAGCTTTCCTTCCTCCATCGCACTTGTTGCTAATGAACCTGGTATGGGATATAATGCCTTTTATTGTCTTGCATCCTTGGTGTGTAGACTATGTATTCTAGTTATTGAAGAAAAATCAGCATAGAGCATTCTTACCAAAGTTAATATGTTTGGCGATGAATTTTACAATTTGTCTTCATTTTAAATTTCAATTCCAAACTGTTTTTATTTTTCAAAACAGCAAATACTCTCGATGTTATAGAGATTGCTGCAAATGCTTACCGTGGTCCTGGTCAAGTTCGTTCTTCTCCTATCACAGTGGCCTATGGATGTACCATACGCATAGCTGCTGTTGGTCTACATATTACAAAAAAAGTTTTTGCAAATTCATCATCTTTATGCTTGAGTTGGGAACTAATTGGTTGTAAGGATCTGGCTTATTGGAGGGACAATGAGAGTTGCAAGAGATCAATGAATAACAGTTGGGAGAGGTTTCTAGTTCTTAGCAAAATTTCTGGACTGGTTTGTATTGAACCCTTACTTTAAACATTCAACATTAATGTTATTTTACTATATTTAGTTGAAATTCATCAAAAACTAATTTGCTTTCTTGTCTATAGTTAGCTTAATTTGTGCGACGTTTGTGTTGTATTAATCATTTTGTCATGTTCATCTCCATTATTGTATGAGGTTACAAATGATTTCTATATTCTTATACTTTAGATATTTATGCTTCATAATAAGAATTACGTTATGATATGATGCAAGATGCCTACTTTCAATTATCACCCTTGGTTCCTTGTTTTTATTATTTTAATTATATTTAAATGGTCAATTTATGTTCTTTTATCAATTTTATTATTTTTAGCGACATGGTTAGTCATTATTATATTATGTTTATATCACGGTTCTTCTTAGTCATTTTGTTAATTGTCATTTGTAATATGACCATTTTTCATTTTAGACATGCTTGTTATATTGTTAATGTTATTAGGGTTAATGCCCTTTATATGGAAATTATTATCAATAATAGGCCATGATATGCAATTAATGGATGGGCTGATTATCTAATAAAGAAAATTAGCATTTCTTCCCTTTTTTTTTCGTTGTCCCTCAATCCTTATGTCTGTAAGTTTTGGAGTTCACTTTTTGTTTTAATTGTTTCTTGCTCCTACCTTTTTCCCATTTCCACATTTAATATTTTGATATTCTTAATCTCTTTGTTCCCTTGAACTTCCTCTGTACTGTTGAAATCAGTCTTCAAATCATTCCTAAAAAGTAGCCAAATGCTCCTTGGAAAATCTCCAAGCATCACGCTGTGACCCCTCTAGCCAGCTGCTCCGCAGGTTGCCCATCCCCAGCTAGTCCATGCCAGCTGCTTTGCCTTCTCTCACCTGTGGCAAGGTTCTGCCAACCTGCCAGCACTTCTTTACCCTTTTCTTGTATAGTCCATTGCCATGTCATTGATCTGTGATTATGGATGCCACCTCAACAATCCATGTTTGTTATCCTGATGTAATTAATAGTACAGTTAAAATTTAAGCCCTGATTTTTTATTTTTCCTATTATAAGCCCTCTTAGGGTCATATAATTACTTGATAAATGCTGAAATGAAGCATAATCAATTCCCTCAATTCTTGTCATTTACCTCTCCAGCTCTTCTTCTACGCTAGATTCTCCCCTCATTAGAAATAAAGGAATTCAAAGTCTGCTAAAATCTTAACTTCCGCTTGTGCTCATCATCACATTTTTTTCTTGAGTTGGACTTTGGTGTATTCTTACATAGTGTTATTGAATTAATTTAATAAATGTTTTTTGGATTCATTGTATTTCTGCATTTGCAACTAAACATCACCTTTTCTTAAGCATTATGCCCTAAAAGTTTCAGGTACAGTATAGTCACATTCTTCTATTGAATTTTTCTTGGGTTTTAGTTCATTATTAACCTTGTCATTTGACATTAGTGAATGAGCCCATATGTCTGAACAAAAGTTTGCAAGTTGATGAGTTCTTGAGGATATAAAATCGGCATTTGTTGTGTTGACATAGTGAAAGTCTACATCTGAACCTGTTATAAAGAAAGTATTCTTAAAGTTTTGTATTTTAGAAAAAAAAAAAATGGTTATTTTTTTCTCTGCATACCTATTAAGTTTCCTTAAAATTCAATGCTTGCATTATAGTTTCAAAAATCAATGCTTGCGTTACAGTGCAGAAACTTTTTGAAATTATGTTCTCATTTTTCATGTTATTGCAATTTAGTGCACTGTTCGTGCTAGTGTTATTGGCTTCTCTAAAACCATGGTTAGCCATCCCTTGGGAAAAGAATATTTGCGGGTTGAAAGTGCAACCGGTATTCTTACGGATGCTCTCCAGTTACAGGTATGTTAAATGAACTGATATAAGCTTTCCTTGGTAATGTTATGTCACCTTTTTTCTGTTTCTCTTGCTATTATTTTTCTTTATTGTGTTTTTCCATTGAAAATGCTGTAAATTTAACAGTTGGTGCCTTCCTTGAGAGTATTGCCAGAGTTTCTCTTAATAGTTTTTGATCCCGAAGCAAAGGTATGTGTTTTTTTTTTTATTTAAATCTAGTGAGAAGATGGTTATTGGTGATATTTTGTTCTAAGAATCTATCATCCATAATAATCCGGTGAATAGGATGAACATAATTTCTCGTTTTCTTCCTTTTGAAATTCATATTGATGATAAGTGCTCTATGTTTATTGCTTTCAAAGTATCATATTTTGCTTTGATTCCAGTTTTAGCATCACTCAAACAATGAATCCCTACTGATCTTACTACCTTTTAGCAATTCCCCCATATGTGTGATTGTTGTTGTCTACTCTGTTATAATTTAATGTTTCCAAAAAATTATTTATAAAACAGCGGTCTTACGATGACTCGGGTAGGAGAGTAAATTTATTAGATTTGAATTATGTTAAGAAAGATTGAGGTAGATATAAAAAGAATTGGTTGGAAAATATTAGAAATGGTATTTTTTATTAAATTTAAACTCTTAACAGGACACAATGGATAAAAAGGATTCATATAGCCGATCCCACATAGTGGGATGAAGACTTGATGTTGTTGTTGTGATTATTGCCACCCAAATATAATTTGCTTTTTCTTAGATATATATTACTTCATCAAAAACCATTGTTGTATTACTAAATTACTGCAACTTTATCTGAATTTTGAAGTCTCTAAAGAGGGCGTACCTAGAGTTGAAGCTTCCTGGCCTAAATGGTGAATGAGAAGGGTAGAAGCCCGCAGCTTTACTCTTGCCTACCGGAGAGGTTACTTCTGTTATTTGAACTGTTGAACTTAATATCACAAGATAGGGAACCTGACCATTGCTAACGGGATATTGAAATATCCAATTTAGTACTTTTAAGGTTTTATATTAAAATTATCATATTACTCCCTTAAGTTGTCTATTCCATTGTTTATCTTCTTCCTATAAGCCTCATTTGTGTACCCTCTAAACATCGAGGATACCAGTTTACTAGATTTTTCATTACCATGAGAGCTTAAAGATTATTTTGACATAAATGGATGACCATGGATAATGAGAAATAAAAATAATACTTGCGGGTTCCTTTCTCAACAAAGTTCACATCTAATGAACGAGCATTTATTGATTCAATATCAGTCAGTTATTATGGTTTATTTAAGGATTTCATTTTTCAAAGATTTTTGTTGTCACATTAGAAATATGTCCCCTAATTTTATGTGCATTTACTCATTTCGTTATTTTGTGATGAACTATTAAATCTGTGCTCGTCGATTCCTTTAGAAAAAAAATGAAGGGTTGTTCCAAATCCATAATCTGTTTTATAGGATTTACGTTAAAGCTAATGCAAATAATTGCCTTTTTTTGGCTACCAAGTTCTTGCTTCTAGGCTACTAAAATAATATTTTCGTCACAACCTTGTGATTTGTGGAGATCATCAAGTAAAACAACATTCATAAAAAATGCCTGCATGCCTAAGTTTTTTTCTTTAATTGGTTAGCAATTTTGTTGTGCTTTCTTTTCTTATTTATTTATCATGGTAGAATGTTTAATTTTTTTTTCTATCTCTTGGTTCGAAGGCAAATTTGTCTATTTCTGGTGGGACTTGCTTTCTAGATGCTGTTACAAATGACACACATGTGGCACGCATTGCTCAGCCTTCAGAAAATACCAAATGCTCTCACCTAATAGTCAGTCCTAATGGACTGGGTACTGCTCTTATGACCATTCGTGACATTGGACTTTCTCCTCCGCTGGTTGCTTTTTCTTTGGTGAGTCCCATTATTGTGATCCACAACTTATAATTATATAGTTTTGTCCGGTTATTATTAATCACTTTTTATTCTCTCTTTAATCTTTTATTTTCTTTTTGAATCTTCAAGTAGATCGTATCTTCTAATTTTACTTTACAGAATTAGAAGCTTTCTTCCTCCAAACCCGGTTGTTTCACATCTTTAGCTGGAATAAATGAAATGATAGTTTTGTTTTCTGTAAATATTAATATGATTTCACAATCTCCTTGACTTACGTATGTATATAGGATTTGACTTGAGCCAAATCATATTAACCTAATAAAAAATATAACTGTTGCTAACTAACTTTTCCAAATAAGCCTCAAAAGTTCAATGCAATGACAAAAAAGTTTATCTAATAGCGATAAGAAAATTTAAGGATAAAGAAGCAAAACAATAACGAAAAAAATTGCAAATCCATTAAATCAATTATTATCATGCTTCTGATCAATCTTATTCATATTTTTTCTCCTCAAAGCATAATAGAGGTTCATTGTGGACAGTAGTACCCTTAGCTTCTTTTGACTTATATGGAATTAGTTGTGCTACAATGGCTCATAAAAAGGAGGTTATTAACATTGAAAGGAGATGGAATAGCTTAAATCCCTCTTATGTTGGTAAATATCCAATGGTATATCTGGTGATGCATAATATCTTAGGATTTAGGGTTTTCTAATTTAACTTTATGATGTAATGCACAAGTTCATGCATACCAAATCAAGATTCATTTTTTATATATAATTAGTTTAAAAATTCACTGTTGTAATGATAATAAACATGTAAATTTACTCAATCAGTTATTTTATAGAAATTTTCGATTATGCAAAATCACTCGCTAATCATAACACAACAATTTGAAAATTCATGTTGTATGGGCTTTCACCAAATTTACATACACAGAAAAAACAATAGCTAAAATTATAGAATGGGACAGGAAGAAGGAAATAAATAATCAAAATGGTAATTCTATTTTCACACCTGTGTTAGGTGAAGTCCCTACTTGCCCATAGTAGAAAAGTTGATGCAACACTAAGACAAAAGGGATAACAATATACAAATTAAGGTATTGTATAAATATTTGGGCTAATATCATGCATAATTCTCCATACAAAAGCATGAATGACCCATTATCTCTCTAAAGTTATTGGAGAATGATTAATAAGCTTAATTTAGAGTCCATACCAATCAAGGAAGCAAAAATATTTAAAATTTGATTAGTTTCAGTAGATAGGAGTAGTAAGGATTTAGTTCAAGTGAAGTGTATTAAGGATGAAGATCAAAAAATACTTTTCTTAGAAGATGATATTCAACAAAGGTGGATAAGATATTTTGCTAAACTTTTTAATGAAAATTATGAAAATAAGATTGGCTGTAGTGACCTTAGCACCCTAAATGAAAATAAAGATTTCTGTTTTTATCGGCGTATTAGTAAAATTGAAGTTATAGAGGCTTTAAAGAAAATGAAGGGTGGAAAAGCTGTTGGACATGATGATATTCCAATAGAGGTGTGGAAATGCTTAGGAGATGACGGAATTTCTTGGCTTACTAAACTTTTTAATACTATTTTGAATACTAAAAATATGCCAGATGAGTGGAGAATGAGTGTGTTAATTCCTATTTTTAAGAATAAAGGGGATGCTCAAGATTGTGCGAATTATAGATGAATTAAGTTAATGTGTCATACTTTAACACTATGAGAGCGAGTTATGGAGCATAGGTTGTGGCGTGATACTAATCTTTCTCAAAATCAATTTGGATTCATGCCGGGTAGGTCACTATGGAAACCATACATTTATTAAGAGGTTTGATGGAGAAATATAGAGAAAATAAGGAGGATCTACATATGATATTTATTGATTTAGAAAAAAGCATATGATAAAGTTCCAAGAGAAGTGCTATGGAGAGTTCTTGATAAGGAAGGAGTTAATAACACTTATATTCAAATCATTAAAGATTTGTATGCAGAAGCTATTACTTGTGTTCAAACACAATGTGGTTTGAGCAAGTATTTCCCTATTTCAGTTGGGTTACATCAAGGATCAGCCTTAAGTCCATATCTTTTTTGCTTTAGTCATGGCTGTTCTCACTAGACATTTGCAAATGGATGTACCTTGGTGTATGCTTTTTGCTGATGATATTCTTCTTGTTGATAAGACTGGAGGGGGAGTTGAAGGTAAACTTGAATTATGGAGGTCAACCTTAGAGTCTAAAGGTTTTCGCTTGTGTAGATCTAAAACGGAATATATGGAGTGTAATTTTAGTAGTAATAGACCTAGTGAGGGGATTGTGACTTTGGGCGATCAAGTCATTAATAAGATTACACGTTTTAGATATCTTGGATCTATTGTTCAGAGTGATGGTGAAATAGATGGAGATATTATCAGCAAAATTCAAGTTGGATGGTTGAAGTGGAGGAATGCATCGGGCTTGTTGTGTGATAAAAAAATACCCCTCAAACTTAAGGGAAAATTCTATAAGATGGTGGTGAGGCCTGCAATGCTTTATGGTGCCGAATGTTAGCCATTAAAAGAGAAGCATAATACTAAGTTAAGTGTGGCAGAGATGAAGATGCTCAGGTGGATAGTCGCTTTACCCTTAGAAATAGGATACGAAATGAGCATATACGTGAAAAGGTTGGAGTTGTTCTAGTAGAAGATAAGATTAGAGAGAGTCGCCTTAGATGGTTTGGTCACATAAAACGGTGGGCTTCCGATGACCCAGTTAGGAGAGTAGAGGTATTAGATTTGACTTATGTTAAGAAAGGTAGAGACAGACCTAAAAAAACTTGGTTAGAAAGTATTAGGAATGACCTTTCTTTATTTGATTTAAACGAGAATTTTACTTTTAATAGGACACAATGGAGGAAAAAGATTCATATAGCCGACCTCACGTAGTGGAATAAAGGCTTGATGTTGTTGTTGTTGTTGATTAATTTCAGTACCATTTTACTTGTCTTATTTGGCTAATTTGATTTTCATGTTTATTTTGTTTTATTTTTCTTATTTTTTTCTTTATATTGGAAAAGTTATCAGTCCAAGTAAAACTATTATGTTCACTCATAAGGTTTTCCGAAGTTATCAAGGCTTAGAAAATGCCTATAAATATAACCTTGCTTTATACTTTTTGATTCAATGAATACAAATTATTTTTTGTTTGTGCAAATTTTGTATGAAAATGCTTAGTGGCTGCTCTACTATTCAGTGAAGCTTAATGGCTAATTCCCTAGGGCTTTGGTGAGTTTTAGTAATATTTTCTCACCTTTACTCTTATTTCTCAACATAATTCTCATCTCATCTACTAAATCAAAATCTTAACTTCCCTCATCCACAAAATGCATCAAGCATCTTCAAAACTTCTATAAACATTATCTCATCTCTCATAATCTCCAAAGGCCTCAACTCCACAATAACCCTAAGATATGTCAACCAAAAGCTCAATATATAGTGAAACAAATTTCTATTGTGAGTAACTGGATTATAAATATCACCACTCCTTAATCACTGTTCCAAACTACATCTGATATCCTAAACCTGTGATTTAGAATTCCTCGCGCATTGCCTCCAAGAAAAACTTGTCCTTTGATAGCCTGTAATTTTCAACTTGTTGTTTTTACCATAAAGATCCTATAAATTATTCCATGAAGATTTACATATAACTGACGCTTGAAACTGGAAACTGGAAAAGTAATAGTCAAAGTAAGTTTATATTTAAACTTGTTCTCTTACATGTCTCAAGGATCCTTATTTGTAATCATTTGACTGACTTCTAAACATCTGAGATAAGACCTGCAATCATCATATCCTGAACATCGCTAAAATCCTCTAAATGAAATCATAACCAACAAATATAATGATCAAGTTTTACTGGTCTCTTAACATGAATGTCGGTGTCTATAATTAGGAAATTTCAAAGAAAAAAGGTTAAGAAAATAATGAATGATCTTTGAATTGCTGGTAATGGTAGAATAGAAGTAGAAGTTTGTAAATCATGCAAGTTAGCACCAAAATTCACATCAACTAAATAGTAGCAGATATGCAACCAACAGATGCTAGCAGGGACAGAGTAAAAGAAATAGGAGCAAGGACTTTCAAATACGACTTGAAAACATCGAGCCAAAAGAGCTGAACCAACCCAATAACGAATCGTACCTGACCATTTAGAAGTTCTGAATATCAAAGGACATAACTTGTTCTGTGAATAAAAAGGAAACAAAAACCTGTATTCTATTCTATAAAATTAGAAATTTTCTTAAATAAAATCAAATTAAAATGCTCAAAAGATTAGAATTTCAAATTTTCCCGCTTTAACACATCTTACGTTTTTTATGATATAAGTTTTGAGATTTGTATCAAATCATCTTTCTGGTAAAATTCTACTTTGTGAATTAATCATGTGTGGCATTACTTTTGAGCTTCCTGCAACGTAATCCATGAATCATTATATACATTTCTATCACGTTAATGCAGAAGATTCTTTTATATCCACCATTAGTAGTTGGCATAATTTTGTTTTCTAAGATCACTTTTTGGAGTAAGTTATGTAGAATTATATGATAAAGTGTTGGATGTGAATTCCCAAGAATCCAAAGTTTTAGTATGATTCCTGACATAAAATCAAACTGGATAGTTGAAAACTAAAACTAATATTAGAATTTCTCAAAATTTCCAACATATAAGCATTTTCCCTAATGTGTTCCATAATTTTATATGATTTCCTTCTAGCATTTATTTTATTTTTAAGGCTTATTTAATAAACCTTGCAATATTAAATGATCATTATTTAATCATCTAGTTAAAGGCTTCATTTGGGATGGCATTTCAAATGATTGCATAATTTTTATATGATTCAATATAAAAATTAACATGTTGGTAGAGATGTAGATGATTTAAAAACTATAAAGAGGCTCGTAAGGAATCTAAGAATGCTATTTATGATTCAAAGAGCTTAGCTTTTAATGATTTATATAATAGATTATATACTAAGGAAGGAGAAATATATTTATATAAGTTAGCCAAACAATGAGATAGGAGTAGTTAGGATTTAGTTCAAGTGAAGTGTATTAAGGATGAAGTTCAAAAAATATTTTTCTTAGAAGATGATATTCAACAAAGGTGGATGAGATATTTTGCTAAACTTTTTAATGAAGAATGTGAAAATACGATTGACTTTAGTGACTTTAACATCCTAAATGAAGATAAAGATATTTGTTTTTATCGGCGTATTAGTAAAACTGAAGTTGGAGAGGTTTTGAAGAAAATGAAGTGTGGAAAAGCTGTTGGACCTGATGATATTTCAATAGAGACGTGGAAATGATTAGGAGATGAAGGAATTTCTTGGCTTACTAAATTTTTTAATACTGTTTTGAAGACTAAAAATATGCCAGATGAGTGGAGAATGAGTGTGTTAATTCCTATTTTTAATAATAAAAGTAATGTATAGGAGTGTGCAAATTATAGAGGAATTAAGTTAATTTGTCATGCTTTAAAATTATGGGAGCGAGTTATGGAGCGTAGGTTGTGGTGTGATACTAATGTTTCTCAAAATCAATTTGGATTCATGCCGGGTAGGTCTACTATGGAAGCCATACATTTATTGAGAGGTTAGATGGAGAAATATAGAGAGAATTAAGAAGATCTACATATGATATTTATTGATTTAGAGAAAGCATATGATAAAGTTCCAAGAGAAGTGCTATGAAGAGTTCTTGAAAAGAAAGGAGTTAATAACGCTTATATTCAAATCATTGAAGATATGTATGCATGAGCTATTGCTTGTGTTCAAACACGAGGTGGTTTGACCAAGCATTTTCCTATTTCGGTTGGAATACATCAAGGATCAGCCTTAAGTCCATATCTTTTTGCTTTAGTCATGGATGTTCTCACTAAACAATATGCAAGAGGATGTACCTTGGTGTATGCTTTTTGCTGATGATATACTTCTTGTTGATAACATAATAGAGGTGTTGTATCACAAATATTGTATTGTTCCGTTTTGTTGAGCACACTAGTAAATAATTATTTTCTGTAAGTGATAAGATACTTTTTACCTTTTTAATCATCCTAATCTGTATTTTCTTTGTTTTGTAAAAAATTATTCTTTCGGTATCCTACGTTTTGCTCAAGTTTTACAGGTCAAAGTTGCAAATGTGGAGTGGATTAAGATTGCTTCTGAAGAAGAGATAAGCCTCATGGTACTTTAAATCTTTTTGTGGGTAAAGATTTCTGCATCACTTATTTGAAGCACCTTATCTTTGGTAGGAAGGGACTATTAGAACTTTTGAAGTTGTAGCAGGAACCAATGATGGATATATCTTTGAGTCCTCCCAGGTACAAGGATTTTCTTCTGAATTGCTTTTAATGATGTTTTTATTTATGGTACTCCTCAATTGCTCTTTTTTATTTATTTATGATCATTTAAATTTTTTTTTTTCAAACTTTAGCAACTTAATTGTAAGCTTTAGTCCTTAGCCTGCTGCCCACTAGCTATTCTAGCTTGCACCCTAATGAACCTTCCTATGGCCAGTTTTCAGCCGTATTTGGAATGCTAGGTATATGATAATTAGAACGAAATAAAATAAGAGGACAAGAAATGATGCAATAAAAAAATATTGCAAAGACAAATCTTCCTTTCTTACAACATAGATAAATATAACTGCTAAGATTGCAAATTAAGAGACACAATGACAAACATGAATCATAAAAACTTATATATATATATATATATATGAGAAGAAGGATACAAATTGGGTGGAAACCGTGGATAGAGAAGAAGAGATTAGAAGACCGACACGAAGTAATAGAGGGAAGGGGAAAATAGGCTAGCTCGCAAGCTAGAAAACCCGTAGGTTTTACATTCCACAAATTATCATATCCATAATTCTCCTAAAACAGCCCTTATGTAGGGGAAGAAAAGGTAAAAAATATAATTAATACATGTATTTAATGCACCTCAAAATCAGCCAATAGAATACCCTTGAAAACCACAACAAGCAGGGACCGAAGGGGCAGTCGCCTAGGGAAGAACTCGATGCAACACAACAACCAATGGGGGGAATCCGAAGCAACTCACAACATTTAATAAGCAGAGAATTCGAAGCAACTCACAACATTTAATAAGAAGAGAATTCGAAGCATCACACAGAAACCGAAGGGGCAGCCGCATAGGGAAGGGGGAAACCAAAAAGGCAGCTTTTGGGAATTAAAATCGGCATGGGGAATGCCAAAAGGCCGGCTCTGCCTACATCAAGAAAGATATTTAATATTGCCTGAATTACATCTGCTGCATCTGCTGCATGCTTGGTTATAAATTAAATATTTATGATTCAATGATACTTTTATGTGGAAAATTAACATCATGGTTGACCATACTATGACCTTTGTGGGTCACCTCCCTAGCTATGCATGCCAGGAAGGGCTCATTTGTTCAGCTTCTAACCGCATTCTATCCAACCAAGAAAGATATTAATCGCTCTGGAATGCAATCCAAATGCTGACAAGAATTAAAGTGAGTTTACCATACAAGAATTCAACTTACTCGAACTGCTAATGGAGTTGATGCCCACTATGTTTTAATCAAGGATGAATGAATACTTTAATCATGATGGAAATATGTCTTCCATGGCCTCTCTACCCCTATAGAGATGATCAAGTCCCATCAGGTATTGTGGTGTACTTACCTCTAGGGAAATTACTAATTATACATTCATCAAAATATAACATCTTAATCAATGTTTAGTGATTTATAGAATAGTTTTCTTATAATTATCCTGATTCTCTACACTGTCTCATCATATATTTGTTAACAAAAATGAAATTCTTGGATTGAATCACATAAAAAATCTCTTGTAGTTACTTTATTTCCTAGATTCTGCATCAATTATTTTTCCTAAATTTGCTTCCCTCCACCACCTATGTTAAGTCCTTCAGCTCAGAAAAAGGGGCAGAGGTGAGTAGGGTCGCTTGAGGAGCCAATTGTGATCGGAGATGAGCAATGATGGCCCCTGTGTCGGTGATGGGATAAGACCATTAATGAAGGCCTCAATTGTTGGATAAATTGTGTAGATGAGTGATGACTAAGTCGTTAAGCTTGTGCTTGGCTTTTCTAGCGACAAGGATCAATTATGGACTTAACAGATGTGACTCATGAGCAATGGTTGGTGTGTTATAAGCAAATATAGTATTGGATAGGTTTCTTGTATAGTATTACTTCCTAAAACTATGCATATAAATTTTGTTGAATGACATTTTGGATCATTCTTCTATTAGAGTTTTTCTTGAGTTTTTGAAGAAACGCAATCAAAATAATAGGGGAGAAAGAGAATAGATAAGTGAGATCAATGAAAGAGACGGACATGTAATATGCAGACCAAAAGAAGAAAAAGATAAGAAAAATATTTAAGAGTTAATAGTTAAAAGAGAAAATGGTGGAGTAGTCTAATTTGGCATTTTTTAATTTTCATTGGACTAGTGATATCATAGATCTTCCTATACGATCATGCACATAGTCAAATCTTACTGACTATGTAGATAATCTATTGGCTCTTTTTATAATGTATTTTCTGGATGTAAATTGGGTTTAACTGGCGGGGTACGCACCCTATAAAAATTTCCAATTTGAATATAATCAACTTGAACTTGATCTAAAACTATGTAAACAAAATCTCACTTGAGCTCGACCTAACGTACCACAGTAAACACTCAAGTAATGATGCACTAGTGTCAGCTTGACCGAAATGGGTATAATTACTCTATTTAAATGTTACAACTAGAAAACATATAGAATTTATATGAGGTTTTATTGAAAAAATAAAAGAAAGAGTAATAAAATTGTTGAAATCATTAATTTCAGTTGGTAGGTGTTGACCTAAAATTTTTTCGAACAACGTAGGATATCACAAACCTAGCCTGAATCTTATGCGAGTTAATTTGAACTCAAAATTTATGTTTGAATTTGATTTGGCTTTTCATGATTATTTCTATATTGAAACCCTTAGTGTCTTCCTTTTATTGACCTCAACAACTATTGTAAAAACTGATCCGGTCAAACACGATAAAAATGGAAAACAATGGATGCATTGTGGGTCAAAATTATTATGAAATAACTTGGCCAAATTAAAATCACTCAATCATTGTTGTTTTGTGAAATGGACCACGCTAACTCGTCTAGAAACAACAAAAATAGACATTCATATTATTTGGGTTGTTGCATAAGAATGAATTAAAACATATACTGCTTGCAAGACTATGATATGAAGTCGACTTGTTTGAGTGATAAGGATTTACAAATAAGGATACATATGCTATTAAGTGAAATTGAATTAAATTAGTGTAAGTTTTAACAATGATAATAAACTAAAAAAAAATGACACACACACATATATTTATATATATCACACTTCTTACAAAAAGTTTCATCTTTCGGAGCAAAATTGTTTTATTGCCTTTGGGAATTTGGAGGAGAATTGGGGTATAAAACACTAATTATTTTTGAAATTATTCTCATTAATATAAAAATAAAATTTATATAATTTAATTTATTAACATAATTATAATATTTGTACATAATTAAGATATGATATTATATATATACTCACACACACATACATATATATACATAAATAAAATGTAAATATACGAATTTATGATTAATATATATTTAATAAATGAATTTATGATTATCCAGGTCATGTAAAAGCCTTAAAGAACTTAATCACTAAATATATGATTAATAAATGAATTTACATATAATTGTTTAATTGGTTATAACTTATAAATCAATTGAATAACAAATAAAATCAAATAAACTATCAAAAATCTTGAATCAATGTTTTTAAAATTATAAATATTGTTAAAACTGAGATTTTGAGAGGGAAAAGCTTGTCTTTATTCATTACAATCAGGATGTATGTATGATGATGGAGTCAGAAATCCGGCTGGTTCGTATATTGAGATAGATTTGGTGGAGAGAAATTCTTATTTCTCAAAACTCGATGCTTCAAGGGGGAGAAGACTGAACTTGAGGAGATGCAGGAAATTGAATTAGCACCTCTTGACATTCCTCCACCACCTCAAAACAAATCCACCTGAAACCCAAGAAAGCGAACAAATGAAAAACATTATTAGATTTGGAAAAGGTTTACTCCAGACGTACAAGCTCAGCTATAGCTCCCAAAGCATATCCAAGATCTGAACCATCTCCTGGAAATAAGGTAAGTAACCAACTCCACTTATACCCTATAAAACTCTATAATCTTCAACAACTTTTCATCGTCACAACAAAAATTTCCTTCTTACATTAGAAGATATCCATATTCCTAAAGATATTTCTGAGGCCTTATCTGATAAAAATTAGAAAAATGCAATGGAAAGATGAAATGCAGGGCCCTCGAGAAGAACAAAAACATGGGAGATCGTCAATCTCCGATAGGGAAAAATCGGTCGGCTGCAAATGGGTTGTTCTAAGTAAAATACAAAGCTGATGGGCACACTAGAGAGAATATAAGGCGAGACTAGTGGCATATTATTAGTGTATGTTGATAGAATATTATTTTGACTGGAAGTAGAAGAGGAGAAAGCTAGTTTAAGGAAAAATCTTGCTAAGGAATTTGACATCAAAGAACTTGGTAGACTAAAATATTTTCTTGGAATTGAAGTAGCTCAACTCCAGCAAGGAATCTTCATTTCACAACAGAAATACATCAAAGATCTTCTAAGGAGAAACAGGTAAACTTGCCTGTAAGCCAGCACCAACACCAGTAGAACCAATCTTAACTGAGGAGAAGCTAAAGAAAATCCAGATGTAGATAAAGGGGCCTACCAGAGACTTGTAGGAAAGTTGATCTACCTCTCCCACACTAGACCAGACATAGCATTTGCTGTAAGCATGGTCAGTCAGTTTATGGCAGAATCCAAAGCAGATTCACATGCAAGCAGTAGACAGGATATTGCACTACCTTAAAGGAAGACTAGAAAATGAATTCTCTTTAAGAGAGATCGTGGAATGACCCTAGAAGTATACACATATGCTGACTACGCAGGATCACCGGTGATAGAGATCTACATCTGGGTATTGCACATTCTTGAGGTAACCTAGTTACATGGAGAAAGCAGAAAACAGAATGTGGTGGCAAAATCTAGTGCAGAAGCAGAATATCGAGCTATGGCCTTGGGAATATGTGAGCTACTGTGGAATCAAAATAATCCTAGAGAATTTGAAGGTTAAGTGGGATGAGCCCATGAAGCTGCATTGTGACAAAAAATCAGCAATCAGCATAGCCCAACAATCCAGTCTAGCATGACAGGACCAAGCACATAGAAGTGGATCGACATTTCATTAAAGAAAAACTAGACGGTGGTCTAGTAAGTGTTGACCATGTATCATCAAAGGATCAACTTGCAGATTTCCTTACTAAAGGATTGGAAGTTCTGTTTTTTCTCCGTATGATTGACAATCTGGGAATGACAGATCCATATTTCCCAGCTTGAGGGGGAGGTTGAAATTCAACCGTCCTATACAAAGGATCGCGACGGACATAAAGATCAATCCGTGGGATACTCTCATGGATCACGCCATAATGAGGGAACGAATTTAGAAAGATTTTATTTTCTTATTTTGTTGTATTAAAATCTGCAATTTTTATTATTTCCTCATTAGGATATCTTGTAATAGATATATAAATACGGGAAGATTG